GCTGTGACTTGACTTGCCTCATGACGATCAACTGTGACTTGACTTGGTTCATGAAGATCAGCTGTGACTTGACTGGACTCAGGAAGATCAGCTGGGACTTGACTTATGACAATAAACTGTGACTTGACTTGGTTCATGAAGATCAGCTGTGAGATAATGGGGTGCTGTTGTGTCCGCCATTTGGCGATCAAACTCTGCTGTCGCCACCATTTTGTGAGCGTGCTCTAGTGTGGCCGCCATTACACAAGCGGACTCGGCGTCATGTTTCTCCGCAACCCCCACCGTGAACACGGAGTCGACACACAGCAGAGCAAAATCCAAAAAATAGCTTAGAGAAGAACGGGGACCCTCATGGATTAATCGTGACCTTAAGGGTTCGTTTACTCCATCACAAAAAAAAGTCTATTAGCACACATTCTGGCAAATCAGAATGACACGTAATGTCCAGATACTCTTGAATATAGCCTTCAAGCGGGCATGTACCCTGCTTTAAGGCTAATAATAGTTTGGCAGTGTCCATACCTGGCCAATGTCCACGGGAAAAGCTGCTGGATCCTTGTGTGGCCGAGTATTCTGTACGTGAGGCGTGAGGATCCATATGCAAGCTTTTATTAAGAGACGTAGTTTTAACAGGCATGAGTCAGTCAATGGCAAACAGGTATATCGAAGGCAAGGCAAGAGATAAAAGGTCCAGGCAGGGGCAAACAGAGTCAGAAACAGCAAGCAAAGGGTTAATCTAATATGCGTGGCGTGAATCAGAGACCAGGAAAATAGACAAGAGAAGACTAAGACTAGACTAAGAAAACAATGAAAACTTAAACAGGCTCGGTAAGGTAGCTATCCGCTAAACGGGGATAAACGCAAAACAATACACGAGACTAAAACAGAAAACACGGAATGGCTCGGTAAGGCAGCTAACACGTTATATAGTGTGTGTAATAGCATTCAGGTGAGCGTGTAATTGGTTTCAGGTGTGAGTGTAATCAGTGCAATGGAACATGGGAAATGTAGTCCAGGGTGATGTGTAACAGTCTGTGTGGTGCGAGAGTCAATATCATGGAAGGGCGACCTCTGGTGGCAAGTGGATGGAAATTCATGGATCGGATTCGTGACAGCTATAGGACGTTAATTCTTTCATTAATTCATAGACAGTTTTTCTATGACCTTCCTATCATGCATATCCCCAGGTCATTGTGTATGATTATTACGTTCTTGTATATGGTCTTGGATATTGTATATTGTTTTATGCATGCCTATGATAGATCACTAGTTAATATCACCTCACTTATACCATGTTTGGTCTCTATGAATTCGTATTCTGATGATCTAAATGAGAGTGTATATTATATGTTGATACCTATGCAATATATTAGTGTTCTAATAATCTTTAATAGTTTGTATATCAACATCCAATCCA